TGACAAATAGTTATTACTAAAATACAAAATGTTGGCATTAGGTTCCGTGCCGGTCTCAATGCACGAGGTTACAATCTTTCCTTACATTTCATCACTTGAAAGGGGTAATAACTATAAGTACACAGTAGAGTGCAAAATATTATGCCAAAAGCATAGGGTACAAAATAATCATTGATATGTATTTAAACTAAAATATTATACATAACGTAATTTGAATAAACAAATTATTAAAGTAGCAGAAGCTGAAATCTCGAAATTATGTAAATAAATTACCATAACTACGGTACAGAACAGAACAAAATAGAGGTCATTAATGGATCCATAACAAATAAAAGGCCACAAAGCGACCAGTTAGAGGCCAATGATTATTTAAATCTTCTAAGTCATGAGACTCCTGTAGTAGTACTCACAAAATAAATAATAATTGTCAAATTATATCCATGAGAATTAATTTAAGATAAATGAGATTCATAAAGTAATTAGTGTAATTGAAACATTAGCATAATTTATAAATATGAGTAACGTAAAATAAATTGTGATAATTCAAAATATACATAAAATATTTTATGATAATTTAAATTATAATATAACGCACCTTATCATTAATCCCGTACTTGTACCGAAACACCCTCCTCTACTTTGTTTACACTTCTCTTTTATTCTTGTTGTTTTCCTTCACATCCATTGCTACCCTCACTTATACATGTGCTTAACCCATGATGACACGTTGTTAACTTTTGCCACACTTTGTTTTTTTTGATAAGCCTTATCCAAGCTTGGAAGGCATATCCTAAAGCCTATTTATTTTTATTTTTTCTTTCTTTCTTTGACCCTCATAAAGGCTATATATTATCATATATATATATATATATTGGTGATATTAACTTAATGTTAAAATTAATTAAACATTTGAGGTGTTACAATTTCATTTATATTTTTATATATATTTTTTTATCTTTTCAAATTCTTCCTCAAATTTATGAACTAAATACAACCTTAATGAAGTTTTGCCACTTTTAACGAGTAATGCTAATGAGAAAGAATTTAGACCAATAATAATATTGTGTGATTTAAATTCATTCAAAATTTACACCTGTGTTGGATTTATATCATACATTGTTTTGTTTCATATTTATTAGTGAGCATTATTGATTTTAGTATATGGATTGTGGAGTAGCCAAAAGGATAAAGGTAAAAACCGAGTCAAATAATTAATTGTTCAAGTAAAATCAATGAAAAATTGGTATTTTAATCATTATACTTAATGTAGGTATATATAAAATATTTAAAATACTCTAAAAAAAATATATTTAAAATATAATTTTTATTGAGTTTAATGACTAAAATACTCTTTTTATATCCATTTTACTTAATAAAAATAAGTAAATAATTTAAATTAAAAATAAAAAAAATTAAATTGATAAAATTAAAAATTAAAAATTTGTACAAAACTCAAATCCAAC